GAAAATCATGGATACTTTCACCAAATCACCTAATGAACGATCGCCGAAAAGTTACTGGGATTGCGGAATGACTGTGCCACCTTCCAATCTTTCTCGAAGTAGTAAAGCCTAATTCCGCGAATATGCGGACGGTTCTTGAGTATATTCTTGTAGAGGAAATCAAGTAGATCATTTCTAGAAAAAATCCGAACTCAATATTCAAATTCTATCGAGAGAAAAAAAGCCGTGAAAAAATCCGCAATAATTATGCATCAACCTAATATTTGAAGCTTCCCGGGACTCCAGAAATCTCTTTCACAGCAGCTTACCATCGAAGCACCCTCGCCGTTATTTCTTCATTTTGTGTCTCATTTTATTTCATGACTTTTCTTTTTCAGAACTGCTACAGACATCGAGTAGCTTCCACTGTTTTGTTTACTTCGATTCTTATTTTTCAAGGTGATTCTTTTCTTAATTCAGTTCAATTCCCACTCTTGTCACCTATTCAATTCGCTGAGGCATTTATTGATCTGAGATTTTCAGCTGTCCTTATTATGGGCCATCAGGAGTTGGCTACTGCCAATTCGGCCAGGCACGATGGGAGCGTTGAATATTAATGCATACGTCGTGCGACGAAGTTGTTCTGTCATAGCAAGACGATTTCGTCATCAGTAACCGTTTCCCAGTTTTGTTTTATCTATTAAAAGAAATTTGTCAATATCAATATCTTGGATTCGTGGTCCTTTTGTATGTTCCCTTTTTAATCATCTTTAATTTATTTCTGGTTGGTCATTCTTTTCCTAGATTCTAGATTTTTTCCTGTATGACTGTGATATGACTGTTTTCTTTGGAATTTTCATTCGGCCATGTTGTCTATGACTTGTGAAATTGTTATCCTAAAGGTTTATCGGATTTATTTGTCTACATGAAGGAAATGGATGACTTTTGAATGAAGTCCATGCAAAAGGCATGTATCTCTGCACGAAACTTAAGGATTTATTTAGCTTACAATTCAGAGTTTGTATTTTATTAAAATAACTGGTGTATTTTATTACAATAACTGGGTACTCAGTAGTTGACGTTTCAAAGTGTCACTCATGAACTTGGAGAAAATTCGCATCATTAGAGTTATACCTCAAAATTCTGTCGAAACTCTTTTTGGCGTTGAAAAACATTGATCACAATCAAAACCGCCACCAGGCAGCGTTTTTAGATTTACCTTGCTACGATGACATCTGCGTAATTTGACAGGAGCTAAAAATGTATGATCACAGGAGAAACGGAGTTTTTATGTCCCAATAGCCAGCAACAAACTACCGAGCGCTGTCACGACCTATCTCTCTCTCTGTCTCGTCTTTTTTCGAACTATTGCTAGCTCTGGCTTTTTCAGAATTACTCGTATGAACTGTATGTATGAGCTAGAAATTCCATCAACTACGGTTTGCTTCATTCCACCAAATTATATTCCATAATTAACTAGTAATAATTAATAATTGCCTTTTCCGTCAACTCTTACGCCCTGCATTGATAATTAGCCTGGGCCAGTGTCGAGGAGTTTTCACACCTGAGCTCGATGGGGATTCGGTCCTTGGAGATCTTACCTGCGGTTAGAAGTATAGCTGTTACGTCCATTATGCTTATAAACAGTCTCAGGTAGAAGCAGCCAGACCTATGCCAGCTTATTCACTCTTGCTTCGAACGTCGAAGGTTAGCCTAGAATCCACCTGGCTCAAACAAAAATGCGATTTTATCTGCTTTTGAAAAACGTTCTGGGGGCCAAGTTCAGTTTCAAGTGCTTCGGACAATCTGGAGCGCGACCGATCTTCCTCGATACCTTTCCAGAGTAGAGCATGAACCTCCACCTTCATGCTTAAGGGAGTTGAAGGGAAATCTTTCACGTTGAGCCCCGCTGTCGCTTTCCTTAAAATCCAGTCTTCTATCTTTTGCCACGTTAGACCGTGATTGAACTATATAGGCAGCCGTTTTGCGCGATCATATAGATTAAATGCGCTTTGTTGAAATATTTCTCAAGAAGCTCGCAGCTTTTTTTCTGTGATATCTATTGACAACTAGTTTTTCAGAATGGATTTATTCTTGTTTTTTCCTGGATCGAGGTGTTTTTCACGTATTTTCTGGCTCTTCTCAAGTTTCACCACCCCTCAACTGCCTGACTTGCAGCTGGGTTTTTAAGACAGTGTCATTACTTAACGACTGTTTTTCTTCAGACGATTCAACGGCAAAAGCATTCCCTCGTGGTGGAGCCTTTTTTGCTGAATTCTGGGGAAGGAAGATATTATTATGTCCCAATGCTTTGTTGTGTTCATCTTCATAACAATTTTCACGTTTAGCTCGCTCAACTGGTAAATTCTTGGCTTTGGAGCTTGGTTAGACTTTTTGAATGAATTTTCTCTAATTGGTTCATAAGAGAGTTTGATATGTATTCATTTTCGGGGCCGTTGAACTTCTGATGGGTCCGTCCTTGTTATGTCATTCTAGAAAGAGGGAAGGTTAGACATATTATGGCAATGATGGCTAACGGAAGCAATTCACTCCACGATTGATGTATACGCCGTGGTAGTGCTGCTGGGTGTGCTCGTGGGTTGTTGTCGCTATGGGGCTGAGAACGACTGAGGCCGTAAACTGCCAACGGGCTGCTCATCACAAACGACCATGTAACTCAGTGCGGTGTCTTCACGCCTCTGCTTATCTGTTCTCTACCCTGACATGCCGTGATTATTTCTTAAATTATTCCTAATGAAATTCTTCGATAAATCAAAAATGCAGCTGAATTCATGAGAACGGCTTATTAATAATTCATACGATTACGAAATATGACGATAGGTTTCACAACTTGTTTTCAATCTGCTAATCAAATTTATGGCCTAAGAAATGTCGGATCAAAGGATAATTCCGGCTGGCTGGTTTAGCTAAACCTCCTTTCAGTTATAAGCCTTCCCTCGCCGTCACTTTATCAACGTGGTCATATCTGTTCATAAATTATTTAAGTTAGTCGGTTGGTGGGAATTGCTGGGCTGTCACAGTTGAATTGGTCATTGGAGCGTGCATGCAAGCCTACAGACCTACCACCTTCGATTGGCACGTCCATATAGGAGGTTATAGTTTACTGTAAAGCGCCCTTGTTGGAATGGAACGAGAGTTCCATCTGTTAACAAAAGTCGATATTGAAGGTGGGTTAAAAAGTTTGTTTTCGATAGTTTTGAATCGTGAATTTTTAAGTTTGTTGATAGTAGCATCCACTACTATCCTGCCTTCTTTCTTCCCATTTTCTTTTCTTCTGCTCGCGAGCACGACAATCTGACTGTTGCAGTGCTTGTAGGGAAAGTGACAGATGCCGAACCCTCCATTTGTG